ATAGATAGATAGATAGATAGATAGATAGATAGATAGATAGATAGATATTAGAATATAATTAATAATTTTGTCTTTAGTTTTGAGATGGGCCTACTCTTGGCCTTCCAAATAGCTAGAATTAAAGGCACATGTTCAGCCTATAGCTCGCCTTTTTCTGTTACAATTTTAAAGTGCTCAGTTCAGTGAATGTTGGTACAGTTACAATATGTGGAACTTCAACAACTATCTACTTACATTGGAATGAGCCCGTGGATTATTGGTGTTCCCCGTCCAGGCACTCCTCTTGTACTCACTTTAGATGGCTCACTTTTAACATTTCAGAGAAATGAGTTCTTACAAATGGCCCTTTCAGTACATCAGGTTTCTTCCATATATAGTACTTTTCTTTCATGGCTGAATGGTATTCCATTCTGTGGCTGTACAGCATTTGTTTACCATTCATGAGCCATAGCACTGGTGTGGTAGCATAGGTTTGGGTTATTTTTAGTGCTACTACTGTGAATTTCATATTCAAGTTTCTGTGTGAGCACATGTGTTCAGTTCTTTGGGATTTATACTTAGAACTGCTGTGTGATGTGACAAACTAGAGTACTAGGAAAAACTTCACTCTAAACAAAGATAGCGTAGAGTAAAATGGATGACAGCTTAGAAACTAACAACAGATTGTCAAAACTGATTTAAAAAAGAAAATCTAAGTAGAGTAAAAGCAATTGAGCAATTATTAATTAAAAGCTTCACAAATAAAAGCCCAGGTCCTAGTGGTTTTAATAGTGTTCTATGGGATTTGTTGTTGATTTTTTGTTTTATTTAATCAAATATTTTCCTAAAATATAAAATTCCAGAAAATAGGAACTTTTTTTGAACAAGGCAAGCAATGTTCTGATAGAAAAGCTAGATAAATACATTGGGAAAAAAAAATACAGGCTCATAGCCCTCATGAAAAATATATTTGGAACTCTCAGCTGAGTCATAGCAAGTCAGGCTAATAGTTGTTGTCCACTTGCCTAGCATGTGTAAGTCAAAACTGACAACATATATAAAAGATTATTCATTTGACTGGGGGATTTACCCCAAGAATATACAGTAGATTTAATATACGAACACCAATTAACATATTGTATAATAAAAATAGAAATTGAGACAAGTTCTGAGTAGCTGGATAAAATATATTTGACAAATCCAAATCCATTCATGATTTAAAAAAAAAAAAAAGCAAAGCCCTTTGACCTGAAACAGCTGCTTCCACAGATCAAGACCAGCTACTCAAACCCCTCAGCAAATGGCATGCTTAAAGGGTTCTCACTGTGTGGGAGGCCTGTGTGTGCTGGTGCACATGCATGTGGAGGCCGGAAGTCAACCCTCAGATGGTCCTCGGGGACACCTCATTCCTTTTTGAGACAAGGTCTCTTATTGGGACCTGGTGCTCACTAATTTGTGTAAGCCAGCTGACCAGCAAGCCCCAGAGCTTGGTTTCCACCTCCCGAGCACTAGAATTAGAGCAGACACCACCATACCTGGCTGTTTGTGCTTTCTGGGGATGAAACTTGGGTGTTCATGTTTGTATGGCAAGTACTTTACTGTTTTCCCTCCAATCTGAAATTAAATTCTAAAAGGTAACTTATATTCGAGTGTTCTTAAAATGACACTTGTCTGTCTCTAGCTTATTTTATTTCTGATTCAACAGTCATAATCCCAACACATAAACTGATAGCTCATTCTAAAATAAATATGAAAGGGATATATTTTTAAAGCTATATGAAAAGGACATGAAAAGAATGAACTTAGTGGATATATACAGATACAGATACAGATACAGATACTGATACAGATATAGATATATAGCCAGGTTTCAAAACTGATCATAAAGATACAAGTACTGAAGGCAAGATTAAGCTCTTCATAAAATAGATGACATGAAATAAAGCTGTCAGTCCAGGGGGTAGGGTCTTTCATTTGTTCTCTATTAATTTTTGACAAATAGCCAAGACAATTCAATAGGAAAAAGCATTTGCTTCTGGAGCACTTGGCTCTCAAAGTTCACAAAGACCATTTTAGGTTCTTCTGACAAGCAAAAAACTAACTAAAATGGGTCAGATGAACCATTTTATTCATAGAACTAATTTTTAAAAGACATATTTCTTCATGTTTTTATACTGCAAAGAGTTCAACAACCAAATATAGGCTTAAAAAAAAAAAAAGGAAAGAAAAAGAATAGGATGAGGACTGGAGAGATGGCTCAGCAGTCAAAAGCTCCTGTTGCTCTCGCAGAGGATCTGAGCTCAGCTCCCAGCACCTGTGGTGGGTGTTTCACAACCACCTGCAACTTTACCTCCAAGGAATCCACTGTCCTCTTCTGGCCCTGTGGAAAGCACTTGAGTGCACACACTTTTTTTTTTTTAATTTGAAAGATGATAAGTTGGATTTTATCAAAAGTGAAGTCTTTAGTGCTATAGAAGACATCTTGAGGAAAATGGAAACAAAAGACAAGAACTAGAAGAAAATATTTGTAATAGAGTATGTGTCTTTTAAAAAGAATTTACATAGGAAACATACTAGAAACTCTCAAAGCTCAATAGTAAAAATACAGCCCAGAACATTTTAGTAGATATTCTTCTGAAGAAGGTACACAAGTGAGAACTACATAGGGAAAGATGCTCGACAGTATAGCTTTTTAGGGAAATTCAAAACATACGTCATAGGTTTGTGCAGCCTAAGAGGGATGAGGAATGAGGGCCATACAAACTGCTGTTCCTGCTCCATGGTTATTGGGGATGTAAGTGATACAGTCACTGTGAAGAACACTTCAGCATTGTCTTTGTAAGTTAAAGACATTAATATATCATCCAATGAAGCAATTTCCTCAAGAAAAAATGACAACAGTCACACCTTAACTCTTACATGTGTGTATATTTATGACAGCCCCAATCTGTAAACAGGCCAAAGCTCACCCAGTGTATCTGCACCATTGAGTAGAATTCATCCTGGAAAAGCCAAGTGCTGGCTCTGGCTCCTGTGTCAATGTGGCACAACTCTGAAAGTAACAGCTAAGATGCATAAAGTTACATATTTTTTTTACAATTCCTTGTATGTGAAATGTCCATTAAGAAAAGCAAATCAGTGCCAACGGGGCAGGCTTGGGGAGTGACCACATGCAGGCCTGAGGGATCTTTTCTTGATGGTGCAAGTGCTACAGTATACTTTGAAAATTGATAAAACATTATTTTATCAATAAACTTTACACTTAAATCATACTTCAGTGAGCTGTTCTTTTAAAGAAAGAAAAGTTTAGGAAAGGGTAGGAAACAAGAGGAAGTGCTAGGTACCCTACATGTTCTTGAATCTAAATCTAAGTCCGCTGTAGGTTGGGTGGTAGCATCTTTTTAAGGATGCTGAGGCTCAGGGGCTGGAGAGATCAGTGGTTAAGAGCACTGACTGCTCTTCCAGAGGTCCTGAGTTCAATTCCCAGCAACCAGATGGCTCACCACCATCTGTAATGAGATCTGATTCCCTCTTCTGGTGTGTCTGAAGATAGCTACAGTGTACTCATATAAAGTAAATAATATTTTTTTTAAAAAGGATGCTGAGGCTCTGAAAGCCTACACTCCCATAGAGTGTTCAGGTAAATACATGGTCAAGGATTCAGATGATAAAGGAGGTATATGAATTGGAACATAACTCCATGGCTAGGGGGATTTATTTAAAGACCATGCTGGTGTTTTGTGTCATAGTGATTGCATGATACTCAAATTGGAGGTGCCTAGAGTATAGATAGTCTGTTACAACCAGAAAAAAACCAACTATCCCTTTCTAGCCTAGATTAAACCCACTGATTTGGCTGGGATTTTCTTAGTAAGCCTACAAGACTTAACAAGTTGCTGGTTTATTTAACTTATGCAGTGAAGAAGAAAGTATAATAATTAATTTAAGCTTTTTTACTTCAAGATTTGAGGTTTTGTAAAAGTGGACAGTTTCGGTTTCTGAACTCAGTATTACAGGTAAAATTAGATTTCATGAAATGAAAATTTTGTCAAGAGATTGAAAGTACATTGAAACTTTTTGCCTGTAGAAGAGAAATAAGAAAGCACGTTTATCCTCCTATAGATCAAGGGCTAGATCTTAGAAGAGGATGCAGCTGGGAAGTGCTTAGGAGTCTACCAGACGGAGTCACCACCGCAGCAGGTACACAGTGCAGGGCTTGGGCTGGTACCTTTAGAACTGAGGAAATCCTCAAGTGGGGTAGGCTTAATAATAGCCACACTGGTATGATTTTATTTAGCTAGAGGCAGCTGTAGTATATAGAAAGCATCTTACTTTTGTTTTTGAGAAGGGCAAAGGGAGGGGAATGAATTGTTTTTATAATATTTCTTAATTAGCAGTAAAAAGAAGGTAAGCAAGTTTACCTCATTTGGAGACACAAGCCACTTTGATACCATTGTAAAGGCATATGAAGCAGGTAATGTGCGTCTCAGATGGTGTAAGGTTCTCCCAGTGGCTTATGCAGAAAACTGGGCAGCAGAAAGGAACCGAGGATTGTGCCCCTCCCTTCTTGGAGGCTGTTGGCCATGAGCCCTCAAGGACAAAGGTAGCAGAGGCGACAGCAGGGTTTGGATAGCCATGAGAATGATGGAAGAACTTCGGAAGACTACTACAGCTAAACAAGCCTATTTTATTATTCCAGGGATAGGGTATATAAGGGCTTTTTTAGGGGTACAGGTGGAAAGGGCTAATTGGTCATAGCATCAAACAGGAGGCAAAGGGCTGATTGGTTATAATATAGCACCTAATAATCATGCTGACAGGAAGCCAGAGCAGGACTTGTGTGCTGAGTTATGCAGCCTTACAGAGAGTCTGTACAAGGTCATTTTTTCAGACAAGACCAGCCACCCATGTTCAGACATACTCACTTCACAGTCAGGCAGAGACAGGGAAGCCCCGCAGAGAAAGGGAGTCCTCCATTTAGAAAGCTATCCAGTCATGGGGAACTGCAACCTTAACAGCAAGGTTCTCCATGTTAGTGCAACAAAGGTACTTCCAGTGTGCTGAGGCTCTTACAGGGAAGGAGCTTCTGTACCACAAAGTGTTTCTTACATAAGATTTTTCTGATTGTTTTACTCTCACAGGTTTAAGATATTACTTTTGTTGCTTGAGCTGTTTATTTTATATAATACATTGGAAATTTCGTATATGTCATAGCATTGCTGTATGAAAGTTTTAAAGGGTTGTGTTGTGTATGTGTTTGTCCTTTTTGAGTTCTTACTAGTGAGAATACCACATGAGTTTTGTTATATCCTAGGACATGCTGAGTTTCACTGAGTTAAATCTTGGCTACCTCTGTTTTGTTTTGGTGGGTTTTTTGTTTGTTTGTGTTTTGTTTTTGTTTTGTAATGTAGCATTGTCTTAATTAGGGTTTCTATTGTTGTTATAAAACACCATAATCGCTGGGCAGTGGTGGTGCACACCTTTAATCCCAGCACTTGGGAGGCAGAGGCAGGTGGATTTCTGAGTTCGAGGCCAGCCTGGTCTACAGAGTGAGTTCCAGGACAGCTAGGGCTATACAGAGAAACCCTGTCTCAAATAAATAAATAAATAAATAAATACACCATAATCAAAAGCAACTTGAGGAGGAAATGATTTATTTCAGCTTACAGTCCATCACTGAGGGAAGTTAGGGCAGGAACTCCCTGATGGAGGCTAATGCAAAGACCATGAAGAACACGGTTTACTAGCTTGTTCCTCGTGGCTTTCTCAGCCTGCTTTTTATACTATCCAGAAGCACTTGCCCAGGGGTAGCAGCACCCTCAGTGAGTGGGGCCTTCCTACATCAGTCATTAGTTAAGAAAATGTTCCACAGACTTATTAACCCACAGGTCCATCAGGTAGGTACACTTTCTCAGTTGAGGTTCCCTCTTCCAAATGACTCTTAACTTGTATCAGTTTGACTGAGAAAGGTAGAGGAGGAAGAGGAAACGGAAAGCAGGACAAGCGTTTACTGACAACTGGAATTAGAGGGCTTGCTCTATGTGGTTTACTTTAGTAGATACCTTACTGAGTCATGAATGGACACATTCTTTTAAGATACTCTTGTATCTAGACTCTAGCTTGCCAACTTCCACACATTTTAAATCTGTAGTGTGTACTATGGCATTCACTAAACACGTGGTTTTTGAATATTTGAAACATGGCTATTTCAAATTAAGGTGTGCTATGGTTATAATGAGTGTGCCAAAAATCTACTGGGGAATGATAAGGAATACTAAAATGATTTTGGTTTTGTCGTTTTTGTTAATTGTTTTTGTTTTAGGCAGGGTCTCGCTAAGTAGATCTGACTGGCTTCCAACTCTATATAGATCAGGCTGGCCTCAAACTCATAGAGATCTGTCTCTGCCTCTCAAGTGCTAGGATTAAAGGTGTATACCACCATGCCTGACTTGGATAGCTTTTTTTTTTTTTTAAGGTTTATTTGTTTGAAGGTTTTCTTGTTTTTGTTTTTAATGTATATGAGTGTTTTCCCTACATGTATATCTGTGCACCACCTGTGTGTCTGATGTCTGTCAAGGCTAGTAAAGGGCATTGGATCCTCTGGAACTAGAGTTACAGATGGTTGTGAGCTTCCCTCTGCAAGAGCAGCCAGTGCTCGGAACCACTGAGCCATCTCTCTAGCCCCTCATCTGCTGGTTTTTGGTTTTGGGTTTTGGTTTTGTTTTTATAGAAAACTGAGACTGGTGGCAAGGACAGGGTGGCACTCTTCTTTCAGAGTTGTGTGGTTGCTCTTGTCTCTTAAGGTAGGACTCATAGCTTTGGCTTTGAAAATTTTATCATTAATTTCTGTTAAAATGCTAAGCTAGTTTAATAAAAAAGAACAAATTAAGGATTACTGGGTAGTGGGTTAACCATTCCCTTGATTGACACCGATGGAAGTGACTGGTTTTCCAAACCCATTTACAAGAGGTCATTTTCTAACTCGGTTCTCTTTTCAGGCACTACCGACTCCACGTCCAACAGCACGGCCACTGTGATTTCCACAGCACCCCCCGCTTCCTCAGCAGTCACATCCCCCTCCCTGAGTCCCTCTCCTTCTGCCTCAGCCTCCACCTCTGAGGCCTCTAGTGCCAGTGAGACCAGCACAACACATACCACCTCCACGCCTCTTCCCTCCCCTCTCGGAGCCAGCCAGGTAATGGTGACAGCATCCGGCTTGCAGACAGCAGCTGCTGCTGCTCTCCAAGGAGCTGCTCAGTTGCCAGCAAATGCCAGTCTTGCTGCTATGGCTGCTGCTGCAGGACTCAACCCAGGCCTGATGGCACCCTCACAGTTTGCTGCTGGGTAAGGAGCTTTCCTGTTCTGTTTGCATCCAAAACAGAACTAGGAACTCATTCCTGCAATTCACAGGGAAGATTTTCATCACTGTCTTAGGCAAAAAGCATATCTGAGATGGGCTGCTTTGATTAGAGATTTGCACTTAAGTTTCTGAGTAGCCACACTGTCATTTCCACATGATGACACAGAACTGAGTCACTGAGTAACTCAATGACCGAGCCAGGAAGGAAGCTTAGAATTCTTCATTATTAAGCTTTCTTTATTCAAGTATAGCTTATCTACTTTCTAACTCTCAAAAATAGGTACAACTTGGAATAAAGCAATATCTGATTTTATGTATTTTTCATAGTTTTTCTCTGATAATTTCATGTATGTATACATGTACTTTGATCATATCCATCCCCCACTCATCCCAAACTGTCCTGAACTCACCCTCACCCACACATACGACTTCATGTATCATGGTTCATTTTTTTTTCTTCAAGTAGCCAATCTAGTTAGTGTTGCCTGTATGCATGTGAGTATAGAGCCGTCCAGCAGCCTTACCTACCAATAGCTTCTCAGCTAAGGGCAAAGCTCACAAGCCCTTGCCCATCTACACTGGAATGTGTCTGGCTTGGTGTTGTTCAGAGGGCCTGCTCTGCACTCATTGAATGCAGATCCCATGTGTCTAGAAGACTGCAATTCACAAAACTCCTCTCACCCTCCACCTCTTCCGTGTTTTCTACTGAGGAACACTTTCCTTAATGTTCCCTAAGTCTTGATGTTAGGGAGGTAGAGTTGATAGCCATGTCCTCTTTAGGACTGCATACCCAACAGTCGTGTATTCTTATCAGTTTGACCAGTTGACTGCATTAATTATTGTCCACTTGAGTAAGAGATGAGAGCATCATACTTCTGTGGGTCTAAACATACATACGTAGAAGGTGGTTCACCATAACCATTTAACAAAACAATAGTATCTGCTCCTACCCCACTCTTGGCCTATGAACTCTATCCATGGGCTTTTGACTACATTTACAGTACCAAGCATAAACTTCCTGCTATGAATAGGGCTCAAATCAAATCAGAAACCACTTGCTTACCACTAAAATAGTCATACCACTATCCTACCAATGACACATCTTGCCTGATTGGTCAGTATTGTAACATACAGAGTCTAGCATTGGGTAAGACTATTGATGCTTTTTCTCTCAGGTGCCACTGTGAAAGTTAGCCAGCAGGGAGGAAGCTTCCTGGTCAGTTCCAGATTGATTTTTCTATGTCCTGCAACTGAAGTATTTGTGTCTTCAGTAATAGGATATTACCATCTAGTTATGTTGTACACCCAAGAGCAGTGACAGTGGCCTGTGATGGGGTTGGGTTTTTTTCTTTGTTTTTCAATCTTATTTTGCTTTTATTTCTAGAGGGTTGGCCTCTAGATCTTTCCAAACCAATAACTTGTTGTAAATGTAACGTTTATTCTCCTGATGTAATTGTCATCTTCAAGGTTTACTGCCTGTCTGCTAACCTAGGCCTAGTCTTGGAACCTTCTAGCCTCCACACAATTTAATCCAGGCCTAGAACATGTTCAGCCTCTGAGATTTAAACTGCGAAGTGAGCTCACCCTTTCTAGTTCTTTCTGAGTTCTGTTGACTGGTTTAGCTGAGCTGTTCTGGCTCAAACTCTTCTCCAAGCTGACTAATTCAATCTAGCTTCTCCAGCCTCTGACTTTTGCTCTGCTTGGTCCCAAACTAACCCCAGCAATCTGTTCTAATCTTCTAGCTCCTCACTCTCTGGCTTGTTCTGTCTCTGCAACCTGACTCTATACAAGTGTCCCAGTAAAACTTCCTCCTTCCTCTCTTTTTATCCCCCACACCCACCCTTGCTGCTCTCTAAAGTAATTTCCCTTTCCTCTCTTCTCGTGAGAGTTGGGCATATCAAATCTTTCTCTGATTTGTCACTTTTTCTGCCACTCAATTAGACATCACTCTCAAACATAGATGCTTCCTCTACAAACTTACTTTACTCTCATTGTTTGGGATTTAAGGTGTCGACTAAAGGCTGAGCCACACCACAACTAAAGAGGGTTTTTTGTTTGTTTGTTTGTTTGTTTGTTTTTTGTTTTTTGTTTTGGTTTTTTTTTTTCAGTAAATAACATAATCTGAGGGTTCAGAGTGTGACCAAATATCTTGCAGCTACTTGGAGAAGCTTGTATAGCACTAAGATTTTTATTTAATAGTCTGTATCTTCTGGAAACAACATTGTCTACCCATGTAGGGTACCTCTGTTCAAACTCCTTTTCTTATTTTTTTTATGCTTTTTAATTAGCTTACACATAGAAGGTTTCCATAAGGCTTTTTCATGCATTATTAGTTTTTTGTTGGCCTACCTTCCTTCTCTGCTTCCATCTCTCACTGCTATCTCTGCTTAAACCTTTAACTGTCCCGGTAGTTCCTCCTCTTGTCATACCAGTACATTCTACTATGCTCCTACCCGGTTAAGGCCTCTTGTCCTCTTCTTGAGGACCCTTTCATGCTTTCTGATGAAAGTACAGATACTCCAAGTTAAACATAGAAAGACTCAAAGCTAGGAGTTGAAAGAGATTTTGCAGCCTTTGTAATTCTGGGCTCAAGTCAATCACTTGGTGTAATATTTTCCACTTCTATCCATTTATCTGCAGACTTCGTTCTTTTTTACAGCTGATAAAATCCCATTGTGTGTTTGTACCAGTCTCATTATCCAGTTGTCAGTCGATGTTAACTTCATTTTTCCTAGCTCTTGTGAATAGAGCAGCAGTGAATGTGTGGTGATTTTAGATCTTTACTGTTAAATATAAAGATTATCCTTTCAAGTTTTTTCTTTTAGAAAAAAATAAATGAAGTAATTCAAAGAAAAGTCAGAATGACTTAAGTTTCCTATTTTATGCAGTGCATAACCTTGTAAACATCAGAAAGCAGTAACTGGGAAGGACAAACTGAACTTTATAGATTGATACAGAAAGTGGCAAGGTTCCTCACACATTTCCTAAGACGAGGTTTTCTGTTTTATCGGTTTGGGTATGTGTCAGATTGATGTCTGTCTACGTGGCAGTGGAGTGACTCCTCTTTTGCACTTACAGAGGTGCCTTACTCAGTCTCAATCCGGGGACTCTGGGTGGCGCGCTCAGCCCAGCCCTGATGAGCAACAGCACACTGGCAACGATTCAAGGTCAGCAGTGCCCACCCACCCGTGTTTCTCGTGCATGGTGCACCCAAGGGTTTGGGGAGGTGGGGAGCTAGTGGAAGCTACCTGCTTTGCTAAAGTTAAAGATGAGGAGGAGAATTGAGTGCTGCTTAAGCTGTTCTTGGGGATCCAGGAGATATTCCTGTCAAAAAATTTTGTAAAAGAACTTGCAGGCTAGTTTGTGAGAACAACAAATACATAGTTTGGTGTATTCCAAAAAATCTAAACTTTATTATGTGAATAGAGTTGGAAGGTAGATTTATTTTCCTCCTGATGTTAACCTGTCTCAAAGCAAGCTTCTTCAAGTAAAACTGCTCAGTTCCATCCCCACCAAGAGTTAAGCGCTCTGCCTCTAGAAGTAAAAACCAGGTTGTTTTTTTTTTTTTTTAAATTGTGCCCTTTTCTTTATTTAGTGATGTGTAAATGTTCTCTTGACTAAAGACTTCTCAAAGATGGCTTTCATCTTATATGAAATTTATTCTCAAATTTGTCAAACAATGGCAGTTGAGTTGATAAAAGCTAAATATATTTTTTAATATTTCAATTACTAACAAGTAGTCTTCTTGAATGGAGGTAGTTTTAAGTCATTTCCATTGAAAAGATAAAAGTCACTGAATTTAACAAATACTCGTAAGTAAATGATATAAACTTGACACTTAAAAAATAGAAACATGATGGGTCTGCAGCCCTGGTGACTCCTCCATATTGATCGTCCTGCTCCTGGCGGTCATGACTTTGACCTTCAGCTCTTTAGATGCATCAGACTTATAAATAAACTTGATCTGATATTAGTACAGCATCTTAATGGAGTGGAGAGTCAACAAAGAGGCGCACTTTCCACTACTGAGTAGAAGTTAGGTAATGTGTTATCATCTGTGTTATCTGGCTTCTCCAGGATGAAGTTTAATGTTCTTCCTGTTCTGGGCTCTTTGTCTATAGCTCTTGCTTCTAGTGGCTCTCTTCCAATAACATCTCTGGATGCAACTGGGAACCTGGTATTTGCCAATGCAGGAGGAGCCCCGAACATCGTGACTGCTCCTCTGTTCCTGAACCCTCAGAACCTCTCTCTGCTCACCAGCAACCCAGTAAGCTTGGTTTCTGCTGCTGCAGCCTCCACAGGGAACTCCACACCTACAGCCAGCCTTCATGCCTCCTCCACCTCAACTGAGTCCATCCAGAACTCTCTGTTCACAGTCGCCTCTGCCAGCGGGGCGGCCTCCACCACCACAGCTGCCTCCAAGGCACAGTGAGCTGGGCACAGAGCTGGGCTGCCACGGGCTTTCCTCACTGCAGGGCGATAAGCTGCTGCTGAAGAAAATGACACCTGCCATTGCTTCCTCCCACCATCTTTGTGAGGATGAGGAAGACATGGAGAGAAGAAAAAATATACATACCAGAAAAAAAAAAGGAATGGAGACAGGACAGCATTTGCCTAATTTTATAATAAAACAGTATCTTTTCAGGATTGCTTCATGAATTGGAGAACTTTCTAACCAAAAATTTTAAAGGAAAAAAAAAACAGAAACAAAAAATCAAAAACAGACAGACAAAAATAAGTGAAAGGACTACTTATCATTTCCAGCAGTCATGATGACAAGCTAAGGTGGGTTACCAGTTCCAGTAGAGGAAGGGGTTCTTTTTCTTTTGGGTTTTTTTTTGTTTGTTTGTTATTTTTTTTCTTAAAAAAAATCATTTTTATAGGTCTGTTGTACAGGCCATTAAGTCATAACAAGGTGTTTATAATGGTATCAATTGTGTTGGGGTTCCTTTCTTAACTGGTACAATTTAGGCAGGCCTGTATTACTGTATCTCTGTTATTGTTTATATATATATATATATTGAACATGTTTATCTCTTGCTCCTGGATCCTATTTCAGTGAGCTCCCACACTGTGGGGAGGGAGGGTTCGGGATAAAGGGAGACTTACGTTCTTAACTTCTGGGAATGTTCTTGCTGGTTCCCTTATCCTTGATGACTCTTACAGAGGTGCTAGAAAATGATTTTCTTTTGCCACTTATGCAAGAGGCTTGGTGCAGAAGCTGAAGGCAGTGTGTGTAAACACTCCTGCTTCCCACACGCCCCTCCCCCATCAGGTGGTGCCTTTGGAGCACTTGTGTGTAGGAAGGAATTCCTGCTGAGCTGTGGCTCTCACTCACCCTAATCATTGAGCAGCCTGAGGCCCAGACCCTGTGGTGCAACAGTGATGCTTTCTTCTACTTTCCACGGGAACAGCTGTGCCTGTTGCAGGGCAGGGTTTGGTTCCGAAGAGCAAAGACTACTGCAGACACCTGATGTGGTGGCTTTCCTGATTTCTTATCTCTTAAAGAAAAAAATGTTCCTACTGTTAGTGTTTGTTTGTTTGCTTGTTTGTTTTTTTCATTTTATGAAAAGTTTTCATCCAAACTTCCTTTTATTTACTTGGTCAGAATCAAACTGACGTACTGAAATTGGGCAACAATTCTCTCCCTTGTTTTCTAAAGCAATTCAGTTGGACTGTTTTCTACTGATTAGGTATCCCAGAGAGGTCAATATGAAGACCCTGAGTGTGTCACCTTTTGCTCTAGAGAGTCACAGATTTCCTGTCCACTGAGTGGGTCACAAGTTTCTCCAAGCCTGAGATTTTCCTCAGTTCTCTGACTGACAGAAGCCTTTTCCTGGCTGGGCAAGAGATCTGTAGAGCTTCAGAGATATGCTGAGCAGGAACTTGTCAGCCTCAAGTGTCTCTCAGTTTGTTAGGCCCCTGCTAGGTAGATCTGATGATGGCATGTGTCTCCTATTTGATGTTAAAAAGTGATTTGCTCCTGTAATTGTTTTCAGGGTGTTTCTAGACTACATAAATGAGCCCATTGAAAAGGAAGAGCTTGTGAAAATGGATGAAGATGGATGAGGGTAATTTAGAGACTAAATTCCCCCATTTGTCCATGTCCTATTATTATACTATCTGTACCAGAATTTTCACAAATGCCTGGATCACTGCAGTGAAGGTCTAAGTTGCCCTTATTGGAGTTAAAGGTTCCCATTTGGTGTCTGAGGGCACTTGCTTCAGTTCCTGGTGGTCTGCACTTTGAGCTGCGAGTGACTCTTTTTTCTGATTGCTTTGCTTATGCCACAGGAAACTCGGATTCTGTGCATTTGCTTCTCTGCAGAGAGAAATTCAGAGAGGCAGTAACAGACACAAATGTGTACCTTTTTTGTTGTTGTATTTCAGTTGGGAGGTCATTAATATTAAAGGTCAGAAACATTTTGGTCCCCTTTAAATTCTTTTTTTAGTTCCTTTTGGTTATTTCCCAGAGTATTTAATTTTCACCCCTGAGTAATTTCTTTTACCCTTAACTTTCCCTAAAATCCCTCTAAAAATCAGTGAACTGCAAGCAGGGAAACTCACAGATGCTCATCCACCTATTTTGTATGGTGTGGGTGTTTTGGGTTTTTGTTTTGTTTTGTTTTTTAAACTAAGCTTGAACCAAAGTCAATTTTTAGCAAGCTGCTGTACTAATGGACTAGTTAATAATGTGCAGTTCAAACACATTAAGGAGATAGATGCTACTGACAATTCTTACTCATTTTTCTTGATTAATTTTATGTGAAAGTTGCTGCTTGTTTTTAATCTTTTATGTTGGTAAATTGTAATATCCTCTGGGCAGACATTACCTTGATTTTAGCTAGTTTGTTTAAGTCAGTATGTAAATAGGATGGCGTGTCAGTTACTACTTCTCCCCTCCCCACGGGCCTTTTTTCTCTTGTTAATTTTAATGTTTTGTCTTGACTTAACATTCTAACCTTAGTCTGCATGTGATTTTAGGTCTGTCAGTACTGTTTCTGCCCCTAGCAGAGAGTCTCTCCCTTGGGAGCGAGGAGGTTAGGAGGAAGAATTCAGGGAGAGAAATACTGATTACCCAACAGACAGATTAGAAGTTATAGCATTAATTTCCAGAATTGCTACCAAAGGAAGTAGAGTCCCAAGGGGCTCTGGCCCAGGGATTAAGGGAGACAGAGAAAGACTTGTTTTGTCTTGTGTGGTTAAAAGAGTCTTTTTCCCAAATAAGAGCCCCCTACAAACTTTGATTTTAAAATGATAACTAAGTCTTAGGTTTTCTTCAGTCTCTCCTCTGTCTGCAGTCTCTAGTTTGAGAAAGGATTGCTTCCTTTTTATGTAGTTCATTTTTGAGGATAGACTTTAAAACCAGCATAAATACTGTATTGAGAAGAAAAGGATCTTTAGATAAAGATAACTTTAATTTTTTCCTCTCCTTTTTCATGTGTTTAAAATTAAGTTGTAAAATGAAAGGTACTTTATACATATGTATACTGAAACACTACTAAAGCTTTCTGGTGGGTGTTCAGGCTGAAATACCTTCCGTCACCATCTTTAGATGTTCTGTTAATCTTCTATATACAAACTCTTGGCTAGTTTTTACTTGATATCCCCCCCCCCTCTCTCTCTCTATGATCTAAAATGCTTTTGAACTGACAACTATCTTTTAAGGTAAAGTACTCAGACATATACAATGGCCTGCTGCCTTGTATGAGAGAGTGCAGAAACTAAAGGGGTTGTTTGACCAAAAGACACATGCAGTTGAGTTTCTGCATTTCCTAAATAAACACCAGATAGGTTGTTACAGCCTGTTATTTCATTCTTCTTCCCCTTGATATTTCTGCTTGCTTTATTTCATCCCTAAATTTAGTTAACACATAGTAAGCCAAAGATTAATTTTAAATACATTTTTGGAGATACTATATTTGCCTGTGATAATGGACCCTCCCTTATGTAACTGGAGAGTAGTGAATGTAACTGTTTAATCCTGTTTAAACAATGCAGTTTGGCATAAACTTTTATTTATTTCCTGTATAAATCTAAATGACAACAGAAAAATCTATAAGGCTTCTTCTCACAAGAGCAGTCTTACTGTTCTAGGAATAGTACAGCTCTCTGTTACCTTGAATGTCTCTGAAGCCCTATAGGCAGCTCCATAACATGAGGAGACATTATTCCTAGCCATTTACTTTCTCTTATCTGTTGTCAGAAAGGTCAGCACCATCCTGTTTATGTAACTTGTTACTCCAAAATGGAACCAAAGGAATCCGGCTTTCATCTTGTGTAGGACCAGCCTATTTATATTTCATAAGCTTTATTAGAAATTTTTTAAAGGGATAGAATTAATTAAAAGGTTTTGGGTGTGATCATCTTGCCAATATGTTCTACATCATTCATTTGTTTTAGGGAAAAAGCACAATTATACCTCTCTAATATTATTGCATCTATTATCTATCCTTCAATTATTAGAAAGATAGGGGAAATAATCTCTTCACTATCCAGAAGCACAGGTTTTTGCTTGACAATATTTCAGTTCAGCTCAGTCATTAATATTTAACTTGCTGGAAATGCCAGGTACATTTGTAAATACAGGGATATTATGTAAGGAAAAATACTATAGTTCCTAGTCTGAAGTTCTTCTTAAGCAATGTCATCCTCACAGATCTTTCTTGACCAAGAGAGAATAAGGTCATTGAACTAGGAAGGCAAAGAGACATCTATTTCATGTTCTTCCCCAAGAGGTGAGAAATGCTGCCCTAGTGTGCAGAAGACAGTTTCCTGCTGGCCCTGACCCTGGCCCTGAGGAACTCATGGACTGATCTGTAACCTGAACACTTGATAAGACAGAAGGAAGGGCCTCAGCAACTCAGCAAGAGAGCTTGAACAGAAACCTTAAATTGGCTTCTGAAGTTGATGAACATAAAGTGTACTTACTCCTCAAACTCTGTTAGGACTGTAAACATGTAGGGACTACCAGTCCCTACATAATAAAGGAAAATACTTAAAAGACCTGAAACCCATAGTTATACAAGTGGCCAGAACTTGATGTAATAATTCATTGATAACTGTTAGGAGTTCACTTTCATTAGTGGGTGTGAACAGTATTTACCATGTTATATTGTTCATATAAAGAGACCCATGACTATTTTGAAGTCATTTTCAGATACTTCTAAAAATAAGACTTTCCTAATATTTTTGGTTTTGAGGAAGAAAAGTAGTTCTTCTTTGCCATTCCTCTGAGAATAAGACACTGTTCCACAGGTTTGCATGGATGCCACCACAATGCGCACACAGGCATAAATAGAAAAGGCGGAAATAAGTTACTTTGATTATTAAAGGTTGGTGGAATACTCTTTGCCTCATCCTCTTCTTCATCTATGGAGAGTAAGTGTAAGGTTCTACTTAGGGTGGGCAGGGAACCTCAGAAATCGTCCAGTTCCTACCCAGTGTATGATAGGATGTGTGAGCAGGGTTTCTTCCGGCCACCATCCTATTACCAGTAAACCGGATCCTTAGTTTGACTCTTCTGCTCTTAGCCTTTGCTGGAAGCAGTAAGCTTGAGTATATCATGTGTCGATTCAGTGATCTGGATCTCTCTGCCTCTTTTCCTTCCCTTTTTCCTTTGAATGGTGGTACCTTAATCTGTGAGAATAATGCTTGTGGGTAACAGCTTCTGGCACCTTCATAAAATACCTCAGCATAGCTTAGCATTGTTACAGAATTGGTTTTAGACTGAAAAACCAAGTAAGTATAAGAAAAAAATCTTTATAAATAGTGGAAATAATTCTAGCTGTAGTATTTAGTTGAACTAATGTTTATTATGATTGGTAAACATGACTGATGCTGTATGTATTGGGATCCTGTTTATAGAGTTAGGGAGGGCTGGGTTGGGAGAAAGGAGAAATTGATTATGTTAGAAGGAAAATATTGCTTGTGTGTATTTGTTTTTCTTTATATCTGTCTTGCCAAAGGAAACTTGATATTCCCTATGACTGGTTTGGGGGTTTGAGGCCTCTCTATGATCTGTTTTGCAGCACAGTATGCAGAACCGTGCAGGTGATATGTGGGGTGTCCAGTAGGTTCAGGGTGCCCAGGGGTAGGTTTAGAACCTTTCCTGTCTGTGGCTATCGTGCCCTCACCCCCAGACCTGTCAGACTCTCCTGATGCTCTATTACCTCTGTGCTTAGGCAGAGGAAGAGTGTGAGCATGTCCAGGTGTGCAGATGACAGAGACAGATATGGATGTGTGCCCAAGGAATGCAGAGGTGAGTGATGTATCTTGATCTAGGAAAATTAAGGTGAAGTGAGTCATCTTTTGTCATGTTAGTGACTGCTGTGCTAGTAGTAGCCCAACATTTTTAAAACTTTATTTCCTTTTCTTATACCAAGGATAGTGTTGTCTAGACCAAACCACAAACAAAAGAAAACCAAGCCAAGAGGTTGAAAGCTAACACAAGTTGAAAGCTAACCACACACTTGGCACCTGTAATAAGGTGGGGCATTTAAGGATTGGGTGATGAGATGGAAGAAGAGTTGTTCTTTCTTGTGGGAAATGTGAATGAGAAACTATGTTGGTTTAGGAAAAAATTAAACCCTTTCTGCCCTCGTTCTGGGACAGACTTTCTTGGCTCCTTGAGTTCTAATATAAACTATATTTCAAGAACTAATTTTTTTAACATGTCCCATCTCACAGAACTTGAGTGGGATTTGATTTTGATACCAAAGACACTGCTATACCATTGCTTAAGCTTTCTAGACACTCAGTGGCGATAGAGCAAACACTGAGGTTGGAAAGCTTCGTCTCGTCTCTGTTCTCCCCATTCCCCATCGGCCTCACCCCGTCCTCACATTTGGAAGCTGTCTTGTTGGTTGCTCTGGCTTTGGAAAGAGATTGATTTTGTTCCTCCCTGCTGGTCTATGGAGACTAGTAGGATGACTCAGCATAATGTTGATAACTCTTGCTGAGAAAGAAACTTGGGAGTGCAAAAAAATAGTAGAACTTTTATTTACCTTTATCTAATTCATACAAATAAAACCAGCCCATCCGACCTTAGAGCAACAGTCAGGAATTGGTTATGAGGAGCAGACTACAGCCAAATGATGTTTTCTTCTTAACTCTCCTGTAGAGGTGGTTTGCTCCATGGTGTTTCTAGGATAGGGCTGCTGGGAAGTTAAGAAGTTGATTGTGTAGGCATACTTTTGATAAACATAGACAGGGAGAGAGGGAAGACCAGCAAACGTGATCAGGTTGCTAAACTTCATGAAAGCTTTACTTGTTATCATTCTGACATTCTATAAAATAGTGTTAGTGCTGTGTGGTTTTTTCAAAGCATTAGGTAGGTTTGTATGGTAATAGGGATATTGAAGATCCAAGCACTGAAACCGATGCTGTGGGAAAACCGTGTGTGCATCATTAACACCATGTCAGTTGTGAAAGTGATGCTCCCAGGTTCAGGGAGGGAAACAGTTTATGATCCTTCCGCATCCCTGAGTCTGCCCGTGCTACACAGGACTCCACCACCCTTGCCACGTTCTGGTTCAAATACAGAACACTGTCAGAAAGTTAAGACAACCAAACTAATGTAGTAGGGGAGGGGAGGAGCCGAGTCTGCTGCGAAGTTTTCCCATGTTTTCTTTACTTGCTCATCACTGCAACAGCCACAACCTCACAAAAGCAGCTTCACGCTTCTTTCCTAAAGTGGGAGTGGTATCTCTATCACTACCTCCCAGGGTCTGCAGACAGCTGGTGACAGTGCAGTTTCCATGGGGCAGCAAATGCGTGCGAGCTCCTTACATGATCTCCTTAGAGAAAAGTGGACAGAGTCAGTGCTCATCCAGCCCTGAGAGTGTCATTCTCAGGCTCTGAGAATTACAGGAAGAAACAACACGCATGTTCCCACACTGGTGTGACATGTGTCTAAGGAGCTCTGTGGTAGGTTGGCTGGGGAAGATGTATGTGTCTTGGGTTCCATTCCTACATGAGTCCACAGAAGGTAAGAGTGAAGTGAACTAGTTAGTGCTAGCCTGGTTAGGTTTAAAGTTGCAGACAGTATGGGAGTCAGGGTAGTGTGTTCAACAAGACTCTGACCGTGTTACATCAGTGACTTCCTGCACTATAAATGGTGTATGGTGAGAGGAAGGCTTCTTTCCACTCCCTACCTACCTCTGCTTCCATGGGAATGTGTGCATTACTCAGTCCACCAGAGGGCTCACTGAAGGAGCTGTTCTGTCCCTAGAGTGGCCCTCAGCCATTGCTCTCCTCTGTGGTAGTGAAGGCTAGGTGAGTAAGAGTGGGAGTGTCTGCCCACCACCTGTCCAGGAGCTGTTGTATACCTCATTTCTAACTCTGACTGCATAACGCTTTAACTTCCTCTCAACCCTACAGAGTTGCCAAGTCTGCCCTCCCTCTTCTCAGCAACATTAAACTCTGGCCTATAGCATCATAAGACCTGTCGCCTGGGATGAGATGCCCCTCCCCAACCCACCCCAAAGCCTCTGAATGTCTCTGCTTTTAAGCTACTACAAACCAAGGGCAAATTGCAATCTCTTGTTGGTTTTTTGTTGCTAGGGATCATCACAGGTCTCTTACCATGTTCCCCCCCACCACCTTGCCTTCAAGGACTGCCAGCTCTCCTCTCCCCACCTACCCCGCATTTCTAACTGCTGGATATACATCAGCTTCTCTGTCCTTGCTTTTTCCAAGTGAGGTCAAGGCTTACCTTTCCCCCTCTGAAGCCTTGGGGTTCTACTCATTGACAGGACTTGGTAGAAAGGATACCAAAGGTTCATTTAAGCTGACTCAAGCTACACAGTTCACTTGTTTCCTGTGTGACATGACCAAAAAAAAATCCAAATATTTAAGTTTATTATTAATATATAATAATTATTATTATTATTTGACAATCTTATATCCAACGGGCTTTCTGGAAGCTGCTTCTCCAGCCCTTTCAACGTTTTCTTTGAATGTCGTTCTTAACTTGCAATTCCACCCCCAAAGTTGGGGGGGAAAGAAAAGGCTTAGCCAGGTCAGGTCCTAACACTGCTGCTGTAAGCCAGGGGAGGCTGGTTTCTTTGTTTTGTTTTGTTTTTCCATTTCCAGCCAAAACCAAAGATTTCTTAATGATTGTATAAACTCAAAACAAACAAAAAACCAAAGAAAAGGGAAGTCTTCGGCATCAATCCAGTCTGTGGTGTCCTGGCACTTGGAGGCATGCCCAAGGCACCTGGCCCGCTCAAAAAGGCAAGCAAGTCTTTTCTAAGTTGAGGGATTCCTTCAGATGCATGCTCAGGAGTTTTGACCTTGCTCACTTGTGAGCAGAGCATGCATGAAAGAAACTGGAACATCACATTTTTCAAAAAAAAAAAAAAAAGCCAAAATCCCATCACCATCACAATTCGTAACAGCAGCCAGGGTCACCACCTTAGCACAGGGCCTTAGAGCTGGGAGCTGCTACAGGGTGACCACGGACTCCACAGAGTGGGGAAGCTGAAGATGCTGGCACAGGATTGGCTACTCTGCTGGGTGCTCTCACCTTTGGGGCAGGGTCTCAACCTGGGGGCCCTTCTGAGCCTTCTTTCTCTTTTCTGTTACTTGGGCTGCTTGGAAGTGGCTGTCCTGTTTGTGAGGAAACATGCAGAATAATTATCAAACTTTTCTCTATCTTGTTTCTAGTTTTGTTTCCTTTTGCAGCACCACTGTGCAACTATGCATTGTATTTCATAACCTTTGTGCTAGGTAGATGCCTGTGACTTTTTAACTTGGGGGTGGGTGGGTTGGGGGTTGCAAATGAAGGAAATTTTTACATGGATCTTTTTAATCTCAGTTGATTGGGGGAGGGGGGTTTTTGGTTCTAGGGTCATACAAGCTCTATCCCAAAGCAAAATCCAAATGTTAATAATACTAGCCTGATGCAGATACCAAAGACAATTTCTTTCCTGCAGAACCTTAGACTTGTGTATTAAGTACGATTATCCAGCACTTGCATTAGTCTAACCTCAGTAATTCCAAAGCTTAGATGTATATTTTGGTATATTTCCAGGATATTAAAAAAAAAATGTCGTTTAACTTCTTGTTTGTTTCAGTGTAATACTCTTAAAGTCATCGCATGGAATAACTGCGCTGTCCTATTCTTGGTAGTTTGAAATAATAGTATTTTTGTATGTTTTGGGTGTGTCTGTATGTATTAACATAACAGTTTTCACTGCCTAGGTGTTCATAATAAACATGAAAGGTTCTGAGTGTACATACTGTTCAGTAACAATCTCCACCAGTGTCCACGGGAGTGTGGAGTCACTGACGACTGCCCGTCTGGGGTCTGGTTTTAAAGAGACGGTGATTGTGTTTTTCTAAAGATGTTTGCTTCTGTCTTTAAATATCTTAACTTCCCCACTTGTGTTTTCCTACTTTTTTTTAATTAATGTTGATTCAGGGGTGTTTTTCCACTGTTGTCAAGGGAGGAACACAAGGGAACTGGCACCTTGGCCTCCCAAAATATGTTATTTTATGTATTTTAAAATGTGAGTTTTTGAGTTCTTCTTTGTGGAAACTTACAATATGATGTACATGATTCTTTCCAGAATTGCCCAGCAGCTTTACTGAGGCAGTGGCAGTTCCTGAGTAGTTTATTGGGTGTCCTCTTACATTTCTCCTTAAGATGACATTGCAGTCTGGGTGGCTATTGTATAGCCTCACTGCCCCAGAGCGTTTGTAGCCATTTCTCCTTCAATGGGGATATTTTATAAGATTCAGCTGATAACTCGGACCACTGGCCTCGTTATCTGTGCCCCTGGGAAACATGTTTTTCTTGTTTTGGAAAACCAGAAACCCAAACACTTCTACTTACTGGGATTAGCTGATAGCTCCAGAGGCCTGGGGAAGTCGTGACTGTGAGCGGTGCTGTCTCTTTAAAAGTGCCCTTTATGTGATTCCCCTGGGGGGCTGCCAGTGGGGCTAGGGCTTGGGAGAGATTGTGTGGGTGCCAGTGAATCAGAATGAAATGGTGGGTTTTATGTAGATGCATTTGTCTGCTGTAATTTTTTATATATATTAAACTTACTGTAACTGTACAGTTCCAATTTCTGTTGTAAAACATTAAACCATTTTCCAAGTGTTTTCACATTGTCTGTGTCTCTGTGAGATTGCTGCCATGGTGTTCTGGTGCTTTACACAAGCATTTGCACAGGCCCTCCAAAACATTTCTCCCCATGGGTCTTCCTATGAATCTCGGAGTCTAAGCACCTTAGTCTTATACCTCTCCTGGCTTCCTTAGTGAGCTGTGGCCACTGTGTTTCCCTTCTCCAGACCCCCAGTTGGGTTTAGTGGAACCCTGAGTTGAGTAGCAGTAGTCTCCTTCAGAGATGACTGCTTTGTATGATCAAACACAGCAGCCCTTGACTGATCCTGCACGTAACTCCTCAGAGCTCCCAGCTCACTGGGGTGTGTGTGTGTGTGTGTGTGTGTGTGTGTGTGTGTGTGTGTGCACGCGCACGCACGCACTGACTGGAATTGCACTTGACTCTCCAGGCTCAGTTGTTAGTCTGACAGGCCCAAGAACCTCTAGCATTTCTTACCAGGCCCTGAACCAGGAGTGGTGGGAGAGGATCCTTTGAAGGTGGCACAGCCCATATGGGCCCTAAGCTGCCTTCTAGACAATTTAACATCTGGTGCTTCGTATAGCTCTCTGATGTCATAAGAAAGGTAGAATCCTAGAATTTCCCACAGAGAGAAGTCTTAAGCTTTTGGAGAGCTTTGGGAAGTGCCTCTGACAGGCATGTGCTAACAAGAGCCCATCTCAAAATGACAAAGTGTCAAAGCCAAAAGACTTATGTGCCCTCCCTTCTGCTCATAAGCCAAATTCAATTCTTCCTTTCCCTTCTAATAACTTGTCTTACACATACATCTATAGAATTATTTTTTAAGTAACGTCAAAATTTTAACATCCTCTTTGGTAAAGATAACAGCTCCTTCTTGCATAAGAATGACTCTAGTAAGCAAATGTGTGTCATCCCTCTGAAGAGGTGAGCCTGGCCCTCCCAGCTTCCTTTTAGAAAGTAGCTCTATTCTAGCTGCTTCCGGGGCCCCATAGGAAACAGAGCTCCCCATGGGACTGGTGAGCAGCCTCTGCCTTGGCTCTTTGTAAGGAGCCTTCTCTCATTCCAAAGACTAGGTTCTAAACCTGGGTCTTCTGGAAGAGCAACATGTGCTCAACCACTGAACCATCTCTCCTGTCCTTTTTTTCTTTAGACATGTCTTTATATTTGTTACCATGAAATAGGGCTGTTTATGTTTAACATGTTTGAAACCCTCTGAAGCAAGCAACTCCATATCTTACAGCTAGTAGTATCCAGAATGAAAGACTGGTCATGTTATGCCAGACCTCAGGCAGTACTGGAGTCTGGGCTGTTCCAGAAACAGCCTATGTCGCCTTGAATGTCGAGCACCCCTCCCCAGGAACTCTGGTTCCCTAGATCTGATTCTGTGAGCACATCTGCTCAGTTCTCTCGACGCTTGGCTTTCTCCCTAGTTACACTGCAGCTGGCTGCCAGCTCTCTCCTTTGCCTAAGAGACATGTTCATAACAGAACTGGGTCAGATTTTTATTTTCCAGCCATGTCTACTTAGCTGATCTTGGAATGAGACCTAGAACAGGCCTGGATATTAGGTGCACTCTGCCTAAAGACCCCAACCTCAGGCTTAAAAGTGAGTGAACAGCCCCTACAAGACTGGGTTACACATAGAAGGCCTTTCTATACATGCTGGTAATATTGTTGTGATCATTAATTGTCAGGGCCTTTAAATTAATAGCTTTGGATTTCTGTTTTTAAAAAGCCAGTGTACAAATTTCAGTGTCTTTCGTCCATCATTAATTGGACTTGATGAACTGGGGACTCTTAAGTAGAGACGCTGTACTTAGAGAAGGCACGACTAAGGGAAAGGTCACTTTTGGTGAGGGATATTGACCTAAAAACACTGCAGTCCACCATTCCCCACCCCTATGTGAGGGCCATGGCAGCTGCCGGGCACTCCTGGATGCTCTGCTCAGTATTCCTGCCAGGCCTTCCTGCAGTCATGGTAAGGTTCGCCTTAGGATGCCTTTCTACCATCCTCTTCCAGTTCAGTCCTAAGGCCAGGCCGGGTCCCTGTTCTTTCACTGAACATTTTTCCCTGTGTGATGCACAACCACCAGTCTCATGCCATGTCCTACACAAGCACTACCTCATACTTTAAAGATTGCCTTCAGGGTGGCTTCACGTACTGGGGAAGCCACCTGCCCATTCCTAACTGAATCTAACATCCCTTTCTGCCGAGGCAGCCTTCTGCTTTCCTGTCTGCATTGATATCCCAGGCTTCACCACTGAAATAAGGCTTCAAGCATCACTTTTAGCAAAGCATTTATTATGCAAAATAGCAAGCCAGTATAAATTAAAACCCAAGAGGTCAGAGGGTCCCCCATCCATGGTCACAGGCACTTTAATTACACAATGGCGTTGCCATCCACTAAGTGATTGTCATTGTGCCATTACAGTGGGAGCACTGCAGACTTGGGTGGTCTGGGTCTTCCTGCCACTCAACAAGATGAACAGAGTTCATAGAAGAAGGCAGGACTTGCTCCCTTTTCTCTCACCCCCTTGTCATTGGTGGTAATGACACATTCTATTTTCTGTGCCAGTTTGTACACAAATTATTTGTACTCTAAAATCATGCTCTCCATGAAGGCAAGACATCTTAACACTCCTGGGGTGCCTGGCACAATGGTTGGGAGATGCGGATGGCACTCTTGGTGGTAAGAGGCCCCTTGTCACTGTTCCCCTGGGCTAGGAACCTTCCTTGCATGTTGCTTCCCTTCTTTGAGCCACCTCTGGCTGACACTTGCCTGGGCTGCCTCATACCTGCCTCTCTGCCTTTCACAATGTGGCCTAATTAAATGTTACCTTGACACTGGGAAGTATGACAACAGAAGCCAAATTTACAGCAGGAGAGAAGCGAGTCTATACCGATGGAACAATACACACACTACCCGGGGCTTCTCTGGGGACTTTACAAAACAAACTGAACTCAGCTAGCTGCAGGAGGGAGTGTGTTAGTGTCCCACCCCAACTTCTGGCTAGGGCTGGCCTCTGCAGGGAGAGAGGCCTGACAGAAGATCCAAAAACAGGGCTGGGGTGTGAGAGCAAGGGGAGCTCTGCCTTTAGAGAGTCCAGGGATGACATTCTGTGTTCAGTGCTTTGGAACTAGAGAAGACAAATGTGGCAAGGGGAAGGAACATCCTCTTCATGAAACGGTGGCTGTAAAATTAACAGACTGAGTTGTGAATGCTTTGTCCTCTGTCCTTCACACGTGACATCAGTCGGTGAAGCCTGTGAGTGGGAACTCCACCCTGCCTGTTAGCGAGGGGGCAGGGTCTGCATATGCAGGGCATCATAGGTGTCCTTGGTGGCCGTGCTGAGACCCTGGTGAAAGCAAATCACAGAAGAATGAACAAGAACCCACAGGCACAAGCTTACTCTCTGTAGCTTGCCCATGGTCCCTTCAGGAGCCCAAGAAGACCCTTCACGTCCCAGGTGGGAATCTTGCCTGAGAATGCTGACAGAAAGATGGGTGCTTTGTCCTGCTACACATGACTGAAGCAAGTCATTTCCAGCTGGATTCTCTCTCAGCTCAGACACTATGCCCTGTAGGACCCATCAGATTCTCATCTGACCAAAGAGGAAGGTGGCTTCCCCATGTCACACAGTAAGCTGGGACCTGGGAGGTGCCAGAGAATCTGCTACCTGGACCCACAGACAGTCTGGACTAGTCACAGGGAAAGTGGTGCCTCCTTAACCTCAGTCCTTATCCAGGAGCTTCCAGGCTCTGGCCACTGTGGTGGATTCAGGCAAAGCTGGCCCCAGTCTGGCTGGAAAGCCTCTTCCTCCCTATTCCAGGGACAAGAAAGGTGGCCGCCTCCGGCTGCCAGTAAGCAGCTTTGAATATGACTAAACTCAGGCAAACCCAGCAACAAGAGAAATTAAGCCACTGGGATCCCTTTTTAGAAGAGTGAGTTCTCTGCACATAGTTTGCATAATCGCTTGCACTAATTTACATAAACCAGGCACCTGATTACAATGACATTTTCCTTTTGAAGCAGCCCTTTTTTTTTCCTTCAATCTTTTTGCCTACTCTTAGTAAGTCTTGGGATTGGGGGACAGAGCTAAGCTAACCCAGGAGGCAAAGGAAGCGGTCACCTGTGGTGGGTCCTTTACCTATTTCTGCCTGCACCTCTTGAGGCTTCCTTCCCACCCCCTAGATAGATAGCTGCTATTGCCTGCTATGCCCAAATGGCGTGTGACTTCCACAGATGAATCCCAACCAAGCTGTAGAGCCATCATGGCAGTGGAGTGACCTCTGGTCTGCTTGTGTGCCCTACCTAGGCTTGCTCTCCCTGGCTATTGACAAAGGCTTGTGCCACCAGCAAGCAAACTACTGGTAGCTTCACCTTTTCCCCATGTTAGATAGTACTGCCCAGAAAGGGCACCAGCGGCTCACCTGGTAAAGGCCATCATGCCCCTTGCCCCTCCGCCTCTGAAAGGAGATTAGAGAGGAAGACAGATTGTTAGTTGTAGCACTCTTGCTCAACTGCCCCCACTCAAGGGATCAAAAGGGACTGTTTCCTAACCAGCATCCCTCTCCCTGGTAGAGCATTGCCTCCCTACTCAGAACTCAATGCTCTGGCCTAGATACTTTCGCATTCTTACGAAATCATTAATGAACAAGGGACCATATACTTTCATTCCCTCCCCCCCAGGGACCCCATATCAGCACGCAGTTCGCACACAGTACTATGAACAGTGGCGCTACTTGAAAAGATTCAATCCTCTTCCAGCAAGGCTTGGCACAGTCTCTAGATTTGCCTTTGAGATCTGACGCCTCTGTTCATCCTTAGTCCCATGTACTGTCCGGTGACACCTTTGCTCATGGCAGCCGTCACATGGGCTTTTCTTAGTTGGAGGAGTAACAGATGGACCAGGAAGACTGTGGCTGGCAATCTGTGGCCAGGAGGAACCTGCCTGCCTGGGGCATCAAGGAAGACCAGCACTCACCTCGCCTTTCGTGCCAATCTCACTGTAGGCCTCTGCCATCTTGTCTTTCTGCAGTGCCTAGAGGTAGAGAAGAGATGACACATCCGTGTCCTTAACCAATGCAGGGAGGGCCTTCCCTCAGAAGCCTCTAGATGCCCAAGCTGCCAGGCTCCAGATACCAGGGCTCCAAGCTTTAGGCATACAAACATTGCTGCCCAGAACCAACTCTATACCTCACTCCTCAGCCTGACTTTGGAATCTTTCCTGACCTACCTGTTCTATACATTGAGCAATTCACAGTAGACACAGAAAAAATGGGATTTGGAACTGTAAACCAAGACAGGGAGACTGGACAATATAAGGGCTCAGGGGAAGCAAAGAGTCATTTATTTGAGCAAGCCATGTCTTCCTAGCCAGTAGCTGATACAACAGGCTGTGGATCAACCAATCGCAGTGCTATACCACCAGCGGCGAGGGTCACCTTGGTGGCCTGAAACTAGTTTCATGCCACAGTGGTGGAGTGAACTTTACAATGAAAGTGCTCAGAATACTCCAGCCCTTGGGGTCAGCATCCTCTCAGACAAGCCAGCTCCACATCTCTGCCCAGTGTAGCTTACAGCTTCCGCCCAGTTCCCCAGCCACAGCCTCAGAGCCCACAGAACAGCAAGAAAAAGGTGGGGGAAGATGAGGTGCTGGGACCCTGCCCAGCTTAAGGGATGTTCTGAAGCTACCAACAGGTGGCACATGACCATCCAGGGAAGGCCTGGCTTGGCCTAGACTGAAGGAGCAGCACCTCTGCCAGCCCTCTTCCATCTCTCCAGGGTGAATGGTGAACTCTCCCATACTTACATTGTACACGCCTTCCTGGGGATTCCTTCTCCTCTGCTGAGGAACAGAAAGGGGCAGACATGAGATAGAGAGAATCCAGGCTAGCAAGTGTAATGACCTCAGGCTGCCTGGCCCGCTGCCCTGCCCTGCGGTTCAGCTATCAACCTCCATACTCCCCAAGGCTTGCTCAGGCCGCCCTCGGGCCCCTGGCAGCTGCAGCTCATGCTTGATTGTGCACACCTACACACACTTCACACTCCCACCTGCACATATCCCCTTGTTCTCTCACGCCTCACACACACCAGAAACTGAGACCCGAACTGGGTCACCTCCTTCAGGACAGAGCCAGCCAGTCAGTGATCCTCGGCACATCTCAGTGGCCACAGAACAGCGGTACCCTCTCTCTTTACCCTTCCCCATACCCTCCTGGTCCTGTGAAGGAAGCTGAGGCTGGAGGATGGAATGGGGCGAGGAACTTTACCACTTGCCATTCGCACTCTAGCAACTCACAGGACTCAGAGGTCAGAGCCGAGTGGACATGTCTGACCAGAAGCAGCGAAGACACTGGGTAGCTTAGAGTAGCACTAACCTTACACTGGAGATTTTGTCCTGAGTCCCACTATTAAGAGGCCTCTCGTGCATCAGAGTCTCCTGGCCCTTCCCTCCCTACAGGCCGCAGGCGCCCAGAGCCTGATGTGGCCATGTTCTAAAAGGGTATTCAGAGTCCAGAACTCCATCTCCACAGGCTTAGCCCTCCCTGTGTGTATCTTGAGAGCGGGCTGTCCTATGGAGCAGTTGGTGCTATCATATGTTGGCTAAGGAACAGTAGCGGGAGAGCTTAGGGTGAAGGCTGGGATCTAAGTTCTGAGACTCCTTATGGTGCAGAATATAGCCAAGAAAAAGGGGAGGGTGTGACAACAAATGGGACTTTGTCTTCCTCTATCTCAGGCCCTATCTGTGTTACTGTGAGTCTAGTGCGCGCCAGCTGTGAGCAGCCCTCCTTCGAAACCCACACAGTCAGAGGCAGAGCAGCTCCCTACCTGTTTGCCCCCCATCTCGGGATCCCGAGCACGCTTCTTGTCCAAGACGTCATATTCCTCTCTTCGCCCTAGATTGAGCTCCTAAAACAAGAAACAGGACCTTGAGGAGAATGGGGCCACATCAACTGAAACTGGAGCTGGTTTCCCACCTTGGTGGCTCAATAAATAAATAAATAAATAAATAAATAAATAAATAAATAAATAAAGGCATAGGAGAAGGTGAGGTATCTGGGTGGGAAAGGAGCTTGCCTCACCCTAAATATCTGAGTTCAATCTCCAGGACCCACATGGAAAAAGAAGAGACTTCCTCCGACCTTTATGTGTGCACCATGGAGTACACATACACACATACATCACAATAAAAAGTAAATGTGATTTTTACATTTTATTTGTGTTGTTATGTGTATATGTGTGTGCCCGACGTATGCCTGTGCACCACCACATGCCCGCAGAAGAGTCAGCAATCAGATCCCCTGGAGCTTGAGTTACAGGTGTTTGTGAGCCACCCTGTGGGTGTTGGGGGAAAGGCTGGGTCCTCTGCAAGAGCACCAAGCACCCTTAACTCTCTCTCTCCAGTTCCCATAAGTGTAATTTTTGGAAAAAAGCATGGAGCGAGGCAAGAAAGCTGGTGGGAACTGCTTCATCTTCAAGCTAGCGCCTCAGAAAAACGCCTGCTACATTGCTGGCGCGTGGTAAACCCCCAAGTCACCATGCACTGATCTGTCTAATGGAGTTAATAATGCACTTTTCATTAGCATGTGAAATAGAGGCACCTAGAGGGAAATCTCACAGACCAAAGCCCCACTGCATTTCTGTGGGACCCTTCCCTCTGTGCTGTGGCCTCTAGCCTTTGCAAACTGCTAGTGACTGGAAGTTCTCCAGTGGAGGGGCCGTGCCATTCGTCCCATCCTTAAAGTTCCTCATCCTTGCAGCGGTACAGAGGGCGGCATGATTCTGCTCCAGTCAGGATTAGAAACCAGAGGCTCAGCAGCTTGCCACCCAGCCACCAGGCCACCAGCTGTGGACCAGACCTATGGCTGAGCTTGGCCTTGGAAAGGTTTCCCTAGGTCCTAGGTCAAGGCTTTTCAGGCAGGTCTGCAGAACGGGGGACTTACATTGTAGAGCTGGTTGGGGTCCTGCAGGTAAACAGCAGCATCTCCACTCCTGCTGAACTGCAACAGAGCAGAGACAATCAGAGGTCAGCATCATCTCCAAGGAGACCATCAGGCTGGCATCATCTCCAAGGAAGCCATCGGGCTGGCTATAGTGTGGGAGCTGGGTGACAGCCTCTCCATGCTTGATGACAACAAACAGCATATGCCTTGTTGACATGGCTAGCCCAAGGTGTAGCAGCTCCTTTCTGAACCCAGTTGTCCTTTCTCTTGCCTGTGACCTGACTAATGTGCTTACAACTTTAGTCCTCAGAGAAGTTAATCATCCCAAGTAAAGGCCTTGGTCCCCGCACCCTGTGTGTCAAGGTGTCAGGCTCTCTGTCTGTGTCTGCTGGAATCCAGGAGAACCCTCCTGTTCCCCTTCCTCCAGGAACCCTGAGGACCCTCAGGGTAGACAATGGCTACAAAAAGCTGTCTACTAAGTAGGCACATGGGTATCATTACTCATCCAGCAGTTTCCTGAGTGGGATGCATCTTGTTTGCTGAGTGGCCTGAGTGTGTGCCCTAAGTTGACATAACTACAAGTTACCTAAGCTGAGAGGAAATGCAGGGTTTTACAGAGTTGGCGCTCTGGGGAGAATCTTACAAATCAGGTAGATATTTTTTCCAAATTTAAAAAGCATAAAGTAAGACTTTCTCAAATAAAATCCCATGCCAGAAAGGATTTGGATTCTACTGCCCTGGGAAGATGAGACTTCTGTCTCCCCAGATGTGTCTTTTCCACAAAACCCATGGTTTCAGGCACCAGATAATGACCAATGCTCTCCCCACCATTCTCATTTGCAGATGAGAAAATCGAGTCTTGGAGGGAAAAGCTCGATTGGCCTCGATTAGCAGCTCAACAGCAGGCCCTAAGAAGAGGCTACCTGTCTCTCACCTTCTTATCCTTAACTGCCCAGTGTAAGCCAACTGTTTGCCAGCAGAAGCCATGGGAGCCTCGTACCCAGGCATTGGCATCAATCTTCAGTAATGCATCTAGCACTTGGACCATTGACCTGCTCTGTCTGCCACAGATGGATACCCCACCTTCTCCACCTATCCGCTGTGCCTGCTTGGTTGTCTCCTGCCTTGCCCACGGACACCAAGCATAGCCTAGGCCTGAGACTCTCCAATGCCAAAGCCCCACCACACATCCTCTCAGTGGAGGAACCCACATCCTCCCTCAAGAGCCCAGGGGAACCCACTTTTGCTCTCAGGTACAGGGCTGTGACGATGACTCCGTAGATGAAGAGGATGCCATCTAGCAGGTAGCAGAGTTTGGGATCCAGCAGACCAAAGCTCTGTGCCTCTGTGCCAAGAGAGAAAACAGGTTAACCGTGCTCAAGCGTGCAAGAGCACATCCCTCCTACCCCAGGTCAACTCTGTGACAGATTGTAGCCAAAGAAATCATGACACAGCCACTAGGTCCAATTCTCATACATCACACAGACCACAACCTACAACTTCTCTCACATATTCAATCTGAAGAAACCCAGCCTGCTATGGCCAACATAGCCATATGTACCAGATGGATGGAATGTGTGTACCAGTGTATACAATGTAACCAGTGTACCAGATGGAATGTTGCACCAGTGTATACAATGTAACCAGTGTATCATATGTAACCACAGAGGCTGGGAAGAATGAGGGGGGACTAGGAGAAAAACAAACGTTCCCTCTGCACAGAACTTCTGCTTTGGTGACATGGAAGCCCAGCTGTAAGTGAGCTGTTGCATAAACTATGAACTCTAAACCTCAGACACATACTTAGGTCTTGGTAACTAAGGCCTTTATACAGAGAGAGAGACCCTAGAGGTTAAAAAATGTGGGGCTCAGAAATTCTATGACTGGGTAAAATCATCTCAATATCTATTCATTGTCAGTGAAGTCTAGGTGTAGTGGCACACATCAGCAGTCCCAAGCATTGAAGAGGCAAGAGGATTGTGAGTTCAAGGCCACCCTAGATGTTTCATCTCAGAGCCTCTTCTTTTTAGTTTCCTCACTCCAGGGTCACCCCCTCCTTCCTTTATGATGTTTGTCGCACCACACTGAAAGCATGTCTGGTTGGTACTTTCTAGATAAGAAGGGTAGGGGGATGAGGGAAAGGAAATAACATTAGATAGAAGGTAGCCTTCCTATTTGAAAGATCATACAAAACAAGCAAGCAGAGCACGTTAGGATCCTGACCTTGCTCCCACTGAATAAGTGCGCAGCTGGACCTCAGAACTGGCCCAGTGTCACAAAACCCTCCCTCTGGCCCAACCTGAGAACCACAAGCAGAGTTCTTTATGGCTTTCCAGCCTAACTCCAGTAGCAGTAGCGCCCTCTGGTGGATGCTGGCCAACAGTGGGCTAGGCAGATGAACGCCGTCAAGAGCCTAGCTGTGTTAAGTTCAGGCAAGGTATCCTTTCAGCTGCCTCTTCTGCAAAACAGGTTGAAAGTCTTCGGTGTCTATTCCGTGCAGTGTTTATGGCTTTGAGCTTACTCATTAAGGCCACTAGATTGCCGCCAGAAACACGCAGAGCAGGCAGGTTGTGACTACACAGAACCCCACATACCATGGAAGCTGTAACTTAACTCTCATTCACTGCCCCCAACACCACATCCCTGAAGCCTTCTGTCCTCACCTTTTCACTCCAACTCTCATCCAGGGTCCCTTCTGGCCCCAGGTCCCTGTTCAGAAACCAACTCAATCTTGCTCAAAGACACTTCCAAGTGTGGGACTCTGTGCAGCCCCACAAACTTTTTTTTTCCAGTCCAGGCTGGAAGGCGTTCACTACCACCCTGTCCCTTCTTCAGCTGCCTCCTGTATTCCAGGCTGGCCTTGAACTTATATAGCCAAGGACAACCTTGACTTTGCAATGTTCCTGCATCCACATCTGGAGTCCTGGGATTTACAGATGTACACAATTACCATGCTTGGTGGTTCTGGGGGCTCAAACCCAGAGCTTCATGCATGGTAGGCAGACACTTTACCAACTGAGCCATATCCCAGCCCTTCCTCCTGTATCCTCTCTGCTCTCTTAACCTTACGGATTCTCTCTCTCTCTCTCTCTCTCTCTCTCTCTCTCTCTCTTTTGTTCCTTACATGGTCCATGTTTGTTTTTTTATTCTAGTAAGTTATCAATAGCTTTATGACACAATCATTTATAAACACTTGTTAATCATCACCCCTCCAAGCAGAGCAACTTCAGGAGCTAACACAGTCCTGTTTTTATTATTGTCATGTGGCTGTCAGACAGATGCTCTCTTAATTCCCAACACACCCTTCGCTTCACTTGGCTCCTCCTCTGGACTACTGGCTCTGCCCAGCACCTGCAGGAATCAGAAACCTGAGTCCCCAAGTGACTGACAGTCAGTGAATGGTGGCTGCTGCAGAGCCTAGATCCCTACATAGTTCTCTGGATTCAGACTTCCCTTCTCGAGCTATAAGCACTGGAGGCCAATGGCTGCATTTTTTTTATTTGCCTCCCGCCCCACCCCCAGCACCATGCCCAGGATAGGAATTCCTCAAATTTCCTACAGTGGAGAGGAGGGTACGGTTCAGGGATGGGAAGAAGCCAGACCCTAGCCCTAGGCTACTCTTTGCTCTAATAATGATCTAAGAAGCAAGCCAGCTCCCAGTAAAGGCCACCGAAGTTGGAGCAGTTGTTGTCTTTTAGGGCTGGAGAGATGTCAGTGGCGATTTACAGGGTGGTTGAGATTCATAGAGAAAGCCAGGAGAAAATCACTCAGCTGCCTGTCGTGTGAAATGAGAACAGAAAAAATACTGGACAGTAAATTTAGAACAAATAAGAAGAAATATTTCTTTGTGTTGTGCAGAGTCAGCACGGTAGGTGGCAGGCGGAGAGTTGGGCACACCCCCTCTCCCAGAGATGAATAACAGGACAAGTTTTCTCACTTTCTTTGTAAAGAGCAGCACAAGTTTTATGGCCAGCAACAAAAGTGCTACGTGTGGGGTTGGCAAGGACAGGGCTTTAATCCTACCCTTTAGACGGAGGGTGACTTTCCTCAGCCCTGCAGTCTGTGTCCTGAGAGAGGTGGGCCTGAAGAACGGAGTGAGAGCCCAGGAAAGTCCGTAAGAGCCCAGGAAAGTCCGTGCAAGAACTCAGGACCGGAGTCAGTCGCATAATTTATTAGCTAGTTGTCGGGCATTGGCTCAGTGCCAAGGGCTGCAGACCTGGAAAGGGGCTGGGTTTGGGGCAGGTGGCCTCTACTATTTCCCTTTCCCATTTACCCGTTGTGTGGTCCTAGAGAGTAACCTCAGTTCTCTGGGCCTAAGGCCCTCTGTCCCTAAAACAGTCGGGAGTGCTTATATCTGCCTTAAGGGCTGTCTCAAGGAGGCTGTGTCAGGTGGTTTTCTATTCTCTGTAAAGACAATGGCGTCTGATGTTTAGCCATCCACCCCAGCAGCGGCTCTTCCCAAGGCTACGGATTATATGATCTCACCACCCCATCCCAACATCTTCCTTGTCTCCACCTGCTTGCAGGCAGAGACTTCCCGGGTTCCTTCCCTGAGACATTTGCATACCCTGCTCACCTCTGCCACAGCCCATCCAGGTCAGAGCCCTCAGACCTTCCTAGGAGGTATCTAGGGGCTGCCATGGCAGCTGCTTTCTTGTACAATGGAAAAGTTGCTTTATCTTATGTTTCCATCCACCCTTTAGATCCACAGCACCCAGGAAAACTCCAGCATAGGAGAGAAAACCCAGTAGCCAATTAGCAGGGCCCCATACTGGTAAGCCTGCCTGCCTGTTAGAATGGGCTCCCTGGGCTCCCTGGAGAGGTTGACCTAACCACTCTGGGCTAGGTCCTGGGTAGGGGGACTTCAATACTGGCTGGGGAGACCCAGAATCCCACAGAGCTGATATAGCCCAGAACATGAAGAGAGAAATTTGGCCTGCTATAACTATGCAGCCGGACCATCTACACAAGAGAAAATCTCACAGTTGGGTAGGGAACTATACTCATGCTCTGTGTCTCTGCTCCAAGGCAGTGGCTGCATGCTCCTGGCTCTGACCATCTCAAGCCTCTGTTTCCTCTCCTTATGGAAGGAGTAACATTACTTACCCCTTGGTGATGGAGGAGGAGTATAGTCAGACTCAGCAGGTAAGTAACCTGATTTGTTCTCATGAGGCTCTGGCCAGAGCACTTCAAGTTTTACTTTAAGCCCATGGGTAAAAAGCTGTTGTCTTTGCCTTGTGGCGGGACGCCTGGAATAGACACTCGGTGGAGGCCCCTTGAAGCATCTGTCAGAGTATCCATCAAGACTAATGTCCTTAGCAAGAGGGAGCCCAGCCATCCCTGAATACCCCATTGTCACTCTCACAGGAGCCTTAGTTCAGGTGTCATGACACGTGGGCGTCAGAGGGCAGCCTGAGGAGACGGGAGTGCTAACAATCTCATTCCTCCAGTGACGTGCACCCCAGTGCATCTAGCCTTCAGGCTCCAGCCAGGCTCATGCTTCCCACAACAGGGATTAGGTCTTAGTAAGCCGGATCCTCTCAAAGCTGCTGCCACACCCCGCTGTGTCTTTACACCTAACTCTTCCAGCAGATCCAGCTGAAGAGCTGGGCATCTGCTCCTCACCTCAAACCACTTGACCACAGCTTCTGCTGTGAAAATGACTTCCCGTATCTGATAGAGTCTGAAGAGTACAAAAGGCAGGTAGAAAGCTTTGATTGGGCCCAGTTCACAGCTTGATAAACTGAGACCACAAGGTTGAAGTAACTTCATCAGGAACACTGGCCGACAAATGGCCAAGCTAGAGTGTCTGCCTGACACTGGACACTTCCTCAGCCCTCAGTCTGGGGGACCTCATCTTTAGTGCAGGCTCCAGAAACCCCACCTTCCTGTGAATGCACAGCCCTTACTTTGGACACTTGGTCACAGTAGTGTGTGACCACATACGTCACTTGGTTTATTTCAGCAAGTGCTGGAAAACAGCTGGTTCATTCTGGTTTTCCTTTTTTTCTGGTGTACCACTAGCCAAGAGACATGAGGGAAGAGGGCAGGCCTCTGAGGCAGAAATACTCTCACTAGTCAAGACCAGAGTCTATTTCTCATTGGCTTAGTGTTTGAGAATTGTCTTAACTCTGGGTTTTAGGCCCTTGCCTGACAAAATGACTTAATGAGACTGACACTACAGGTCAGGAAGAGCAAACGGGGCCAAGTGCATGGAGATAGCCCCTGCACAGTGGCATATGCCAACCCTGCAGGACTCCAGCAGTGTCCTTGTCACATAGAGGCTCTATAGGTACAAGCAGCAGAAAGTAGAGGACAGACGCTCTCCTCCCCTTCGTGCTAGGT